TATCCAAAGTAACTCGTTCTGACTTGTGACAATTTGGTGTCACAGTAAGAATCATAAAGTTTCTATTCGTGCACATTTCCCTATCAAGCGGGCCTCCGATCTCAATAAGTGCCAAAACTGTGGTAGTGTCTTTGACTACGAAGTGGGACACATGTGTACCACCAGTAGTCAAAGATTAACTTACGCAGGATGACTCGCTTTAGCTTCTGACGATTAACTGTCATAGTAAGAATTAGAAAGCTTCTATATGTGCACAATTCAGCCATCAAATGAGCCCTCCTGCCTCAATATTCCCTGGAACTGTGGTAGTGTCTTTGACTACGAAGTGGGACACATGTGTCCCACCAGTAGTCAAAGGGTTAAACGCAGTTGACTATTTTTGGCTGATCATTACGTTCCCCGCGCTGACAACACTTATTCACCCTGCTTGTCACACAAAGGGTGCAGCGTCTGTTGTAAAGTCCTTCATGATCTCGCAGTTGAATGAGAAGTAAAGAAATAAATCAGCTCAGATGGCGTTATTGAATCTCCTTTTTGTAATCGCCATGCATTCGACTTTCGTTCAGGAGCTCAGCTGTGTGCGAAATTTCGAACCCCATATTGCTGGTGAGTATTGAAGGATGATAATACAGCAATGCCATGCTAACAATAAGTAGAAGCGAACAACAACTTTTCTTATTGAATGATTTGTTTTACTAATCTTTTTGCATCCTAGTTGATCTATTTATACTATGCTTTGAGCAAACGTAAACGAGGTCGGTGTTTCACTTCAACAGACGGATCTGGTCCCATTTGTCCGACCCAGAATTTATTTGGCCTTTGCGAAACTCGCACCGGGATTTGTTCGTTGGACCATGCATGTGATAGCGTCATCGTTGCCACTACACCAATTGTACGAAAGGACGTATACATCTATGGAGCCATTTATGGGGAAATATCGTTCAACGTCTCTTCCAGCTCTATCGAGCAGATGATGAATGTGCGTTCTGATCAATGATCGTTGGTGACAAGACATGGTCGCTCAGAGGGCCATAAACACCCGAGAGCAGTATAAAAAGGGATCGTCAGTACTCACTTCCTCACACCCTGAAATGGAAACCATCTGAGCAGCACTTTTGACTTTTCTCTCTCTCTGCAGAACAGAAGAAGACCCAACTCATGATCCATACACTTGATTCGCTCTCTTGAAATCACTAGTTTCTTCCTTTTCTGTTCTTCTACCGTACCCCTTGACTTTCCATAGATTTTTACCCACTTTTACAGGTTCATACAACAAAAATGAACTGTGACGTAGGTTTTTTCCCAGAAACATTTTTCTTATTCATATTTTCCTTCTGATTTTTTAACTTCAAAGTCCCTCGATTCCATCATTTTAAGAGCGGATGCAAGCAGCATGAGCACGATAGCAGCCGTAAGGCTCAGGAGATGGGGAATGCGGCTAAGGAAAAGGTGAACGATGCCAGCAGGGCTGTGAAGAATACCGCTGAAAAAGCCAGTGACAAAGTAAGTGACCTATTCTTATTTATTTGAAGACCTAATCCAGAGTTGTTAAAGGCTGGAGAATTGAAGGACAAGGCTAAGCAAAAGATCCAGGAAGGAGTCGATGCTGTGAAGGAGGACTAAAATGACCTAAAACCAGATCTTGTATGAAAATCATTCACCTTGCCAATATGTACATAAATGCTATGCATTTTCTATGAATAAATAATTTCAAATATTATCGGAGCCTTCCTATTGAGCAACACCGGAAAGACATGGCCATAATCAAAGCTGCACCTTTACGAAGGCACAGGGCATGGAAGAACGGCCATTAACGGCTTCAGGACGGCACAGAACTAGAGGTCCGACTAAAAGCCAGTGGACATGGCATGCCTTGAGGATATGACACTTTTTACTGAAATAGTACTGAGCAGTACTGGTGTAATATCATGCCAAAATCACATGAAGAATGATATCTTCGGTGGGAAATCAAAAGGAATGATAACGAAGGAGTTCGTGCTTATGTGCATAGTTGAGATCCCTCTTTTAATAGAAGCCACTTTTGTCGAAGAAATTATTCATGTATTCGGCTCCTATTGAGAATCGTGGAGGCAATGGAAACTTTTCTGTTGTGAGTGCTATAAGCTTTCAACTGTTGGCTCGTAGAAGAGCTGGACGATACTATTATTTTAAGGGGGGGGGGGAGGGGCTGGAGACATTTAAAACAGGACATTCAAAAACTTGTGCTGGTGAAACTGAGACAATGCCCAAGGAGCGGGAGAACTTCCAGGGAGAACAAAAATTGCTGACATGCTCTCCCAGAATCCCTTTCCCACCTTAAAGCTTAGTTAGTCCCAGTCTCTGGAAGTGCGTCACTCACCTGAATGCCCTTCCCCTCCCCCACCCTAACGACATGAGCGCCAAGAGCTTTTATTTTGCTAGGTGACTGTGGCCGGGAACTATAGGCGCCTCCAAATGGTCCTCAAATTCGGGCAGCATTACTAGTCTTCCTCATCACATGTCCTATCGTCAGTGTACGGTCTTCCATCTTGCACTAGCTCATTCAAAGATGATAAACCAGTGCTTAGATCACGTAAACAGTTCTGTTCTGGGGGTAGTTTAGTAAACATGATTCATTCGGGGCTTTCATTGAGGAGCGGCATTTTCAGAAGCAGCTGCTCTTTACCCGGTTGGCGAATTTGCTATGAAATTTTATCTCCAGATTTGTTTCCTGAAATTACTAAAGCAGATTTTTTTCAGCCGGATAATTAAAATATTTTCAACCCAAGTGGATCGGTAATTGAACTACGCAGTAACATATCGTCGTGTTCACAAATGGTTAATTTTTACTTTCCTATTACTTAACTCTGATGCAAAATCATCGTAGTCCGCACGAGCAATTGCAACGAAATGTTTTCTACGTCACTAGCGCCGAAAATAAACCTCGAAAGTTAGCTAATTGTAAGTGGGGGAGGGGGTTGTATCGTTCTTCCGAATGCGCGCCTAAGTTTGCGGACGGCCACTTTTCCAATGAGCTGCCTTTTCAATGTAAAATCCGCCTCTAAGGGCGCAGAGACGCAAGAGTATCTCTAGCCAGTTGCTTGGACCTGTAGGCGGATCTGTGAGTAAGGCGTGATAGCTGAGGCCGCGGAATGCTGTTCTTGTGTTTATACTTGTGTGTTCCATTGCGTCACGGAGGAGCACAGCGCTGCTTAGCACACTAGTGTCCAATTAATGGAGTAATGATATCGTCCGCAGCGGTCTGTTCCCCTGCTTAGAGTGATAGCAACAGCAGAGTATCCCACTCTTGGAGTTCAGAGATGGCGACCACACGTGCGATTAGGCGATAAGGCGATTGGATGATTAGTCCATAATGAAAATATGCGTATAGGTTAGGAGCGATTAGGCGAATAGGCGAGGAAAACAAAGTACGTATTGGATATGGTTTGCTTTGCCCATAGAACGTTGTAGGCGAGTGGGGATTAGGCGATAGCTCAATGGGCGGAGCAACAAACTAGTACGTACCCCTTTTCTTATTGCCTACTCGCCTACTCGCCTAATCGCCTTATCGATACGTATGTTTTTTCTTTTTTAAGATCACAGTCGCTCTCGTCTAATCGCCTAGTCGTCTATCGCCAAACGCAACGATCCGCAACTAATGAGCGCTCCATTAATGGGTCTGTTATCATCACTTGAAGCCACGAAGGTGCCGTCAATGCAGCATATTCGTGGCATAGAAGAGTTCGCAGCGGATGATCCTTGTTCGCGAAGGATTAGGACGTACCTGTCAGCGACACGTTCAGAACTTGCAATTTCGTATATAAGAAAACGGAAGATTTTATTTTCGTTTAATTTATCCTAAGAAATTCTGTTGCAGTGATGATGATAGTCATTGTAAACGTGGTTTTTCAAATATTATTACTTCTTCAACTCTTATCATCTTGCAAAAAAGGGAACAAGGTGAGCATACTCTATGGTCCTCACGTCTGAATCCTGGACTCCATAGGGATATGGATGGCCTTTGGGTACTGCATGTAGGAAATTTTAGAATAAAGAAAGGAGACCAGCCGCTGGAACTTCTCAAGCCAATAAGGTGAAGGCAGCAAGTAGTGAAGGTGATGCCAAGGTAAGATCGACACAAAGTGGTTGAGCTTTATCGATCGATTGGTGCCTGATTCAGGAGAAGGAAAAGAAGGAAGGAAGCAAAGACGTACTAGCTGAACAGGTGCGTAGCCTGGAAAACCAAAATAGAGATTAAGGTTCGAAATTAAATCGGACTGAGTCACAGTCGTTATTTTATAGAAGGATGCGGAGAAAGAACCCAAAGAAGAGAAAAAGGAGGACAAAAAAGAGGAGAAAAAGGAACAAGAAAATAAAGAGGAAGAAAAGAAAGATGATGAAAAGAAGGAGGAACAGAAGGAAGAGCCTAAGAAGGAGGATGAGAGTAAGCCTGAAGAGCGGGAAAGCAAAGGAGAAGTACCTGAAGATAAAGGTTGAGTTTGCTACCATGGCTTGAAATTTTTGCTTAGGAGGTAGAAAAAGTTGAGCAACGGCGCCTTGGCAGCGATTAGCGCCATACGCCAGCGATTTGTTGCAGAGTCTGGCACCTGCCTGAGGCGAAATGCGGCAACGAAATGGAACAATGTAACACTGCAGTCAGCCACATTCAAGCAATAACCCTCTTGGCCACAAGAAATTGGCGCTGTTGTCACATGAACCGACAGTGAGCATACGAAAAGCTGGGCGAAGGCGATACAGACGCGGTCAGATTTAAAGGCACGAGTCGGGATCAAACTGATGTATTATTTTGTTCAAACATTAGGCAAGGGGTGCAATGAGGAACATTAGTGAGGAGAAAAAGCAAAAAGCACCATAGAAAACACTAAATTTCCCTTAGGAGGCCGGCCGTAGTACGACGGAGAGACAGCGCGGTGCGGAGAGAGAGAAAGAATTACGTCGTACGCGAGAGGGCGCAAGCACCACGTATGCTGTGATGGTGAAAATGGCAGCACGGCAACAATAAGGCCGCCGCCTCGCGGTTTTGAGTCGCGACAATATCATGCCTCGTGCGTTTGAGGACCCCCTCTCTCCCCTTTCTTACTTAAGAGAGGTCTGGGGGGTCTTGGGGCTAATCCTGACTCGTGGCTTCAAAGGCAACTGTCAAGATTGAGTTGATGTGGTCCTACACGAATTTGAAAGCAATGTCTCATCAAACTCGTCAAAACACAGAAATGCGGCCCTCCTTGCTTTACGCCCGAGGAGAAATCTAGGAAGCAGGCAAGGAGATGAGAGATGATGTGAGTCGGGAGAGGGAAAAGAATTCCGAGTCGAGAGAACAACACGAAGAGAGTGCAACGTATGAGAGGGCGCCAGACAACAGCGTACAGTGGGATACAGCGTGTGGGGAACATTGCAGCTGCCGCAGCCAACATTGCAAAACTCTAGCGTCCTCATCGGGTGACTTCTGCACTCATGTACTGTCACACCTGAGATTTGCCTCCCAGAGTCTATTCTACACACCAAAAGAAGTCGTTCACACGACTTCGGCCTGAGCTGTGCCTTTGACTACACGTATCTGCGCACACACACTTGCTCTATAGTGTGTAATACGACAAATTGAGTGAATGCCATTTCATATGGCGAGAGATGATAGCCTCGTATGACGCTATTATCATATTATCAGATATTTATGAACATAAAAGTTTCACAAACAGATGCTAAGTTGGACGTTTCTCCTACGGAATTGAAATGGGAATTCGAGGAAGGTCAACAAGTTTTCAAAGTCACCAACAACACAAAAGCTCGTTTTGCGATCAAAGTTAGATGCACTGACAACGACCTGTACAGGTATATTTTGAGCAGCATAGAGGTAGTTCAGAAACTAGCGTTCGAAACTCGCCCTTTTATAGCGTCTCGCCAGTGATGGACTTTGTTGATGCCGGCAAGTATCTTACTATTGCTGTTGTGCGTTCTAAAGGACCGTTAAAGAAGGATAAAATAGTGCTTTGCTCAAAACAGGTAACAATTTTTAGTTTGGAGAGTTATTTTTCTTACGTAATGACTTCCGCACAGGTGTCGCTGGATGAAAAAGATGCTGCGGAAGCATTCAAGACGGGAGTTCCAAATGTTGATGTAATCAAGATGGATCAACGCATTAGAGCTTAAAATTATACAATAAAAATTCATCCAGATGCCTCCAGAAAACTACATTTATGCTGTCTATAAACTTCTAGTATTGACAGGGGCCACCACAAATTGATAAGTTAACAGTCTATAAACTATTAACTTATCAATTTGTGGTGGCCCCTGTCAGCCCTAAGAAGAACAACATCCCGGAAAATAGACTGTCAGATCGTGCTTTCTCAGTTTGCAGGTTTGTCCTTCTGCGAATCTGCCGCTTCGGTAGCAGGTCGTGCACCCGTCCACGAAATCTCTTTTATATGGTTGGGAGGGGGCAAAAAAATCTTGTTCGTGGAAGATTGTACTGCTCAGGGTGCCGTGGATGGAGTTCTTGATGAAGCAAATGAGTTTCACGATCAGCTACACACAGTCCAAAGCAGCTCTTACTGCTATGTCAGCTGGTTTTTATAGGCGTACCATTCAGTGAAGTAGCGTCAAGAGTAGTGAAGAGAGTCATGTTTGAAATGCTGCCCACAAAAGCAAAGGATCAACTCGCAGAGAAACCGACTCCACGAGCGCGTTGAGCTCGCACTGCTGGCGTCGCGCATTTTGGCTTCGTAGCTTCGTTCAGAGAATCGTTAAGCAGAAGGCAGATTCAAAATCAGAGGGTCAAGATGCACATAAATGTACACAGTTGATCTTTGTAATGGCCATAACGACCTTAGAGGGGCATTCTTATCAGCTATCAGACAATCATTTCAGCAAATTCGCGGAAGTGGATTGTGGTGCAGGCGTTATTAGGTTACTAGGTGCATACATCCCTTACTGAATAAGCATCGCGGCTTAGATCGTACCCTGGTGAGCATGTAGAGTTAAAAAAAAAACCCAGGGTAAGCTCAAAAAACTAGTTTTTTTTTTCAAAACAGTATTGCATATCTAAAATTTATTTACTAAAATTCTCGCATTACATTTCAAAATATTGCATCAAATATACCGTACAGCAGACAATAAAGCATGAACCACAGCCTGGTCACAGACACAGAATAACGAATAAATTATAATTACAAATTTCAGATAAAGAGGAGAGAGTGTGTTTGGAAGTTAGAGTACACTCTGTGTTCTCTAGCATTCGGCTATTGCTACGCTCCGATGACAGAAACGTTATATATTTGAACAGCGATTCGAGGCATACACGTTTGAATGTAAGATAAGGCAGTACTGAGGCGATTTTGTGGATGAAAATGCAATATAGTGAAGACAAGAGAAAGGCCCGGCGAAAGATCTTCGTGACTGAGCTCTGTAATGAGATTCCCTTCACTGGGCTACAACTGGAAGGAATAAACTTTAAAAGGTGATAATTTCCAACGATCGGTTGCGTCGCCTATATCACTCTGGTACGGTTTTGATAGAATCCGTTTCTTTCGGCTCGTTTCTGAATGTAAGGATGCAGCGATGAGATCTGAACCTTAAAGTGCACATGTTGTATTGTAACCATAAATAAAGTTGCACGGTTTTTGGGTTAACTGAAGCTCGTTTCAGAACAAATTTTAAAGGCACGGGTCGGAGGGTACGTGACAGGAGGCCCGTCGCGGTAAGAAGGAAGAGTCAGCGGACGAGTCGCAGCGCGTGCTGTGCGATGTAGGACGTAATGGTACATTCTATTTAACTTGACGCGAAATCACTACAGTACGCGCTGACTCGTCCGCTGACTCTGCCTTCTTGCCGCGCGACGGGCCTCCTGTCGGGTACCCACGGGTCGGAACCAGGTAGTCGAAGGAACCCCTCCATCAATACTGTGGCTAAACCCCCTCCATCAATACTGTAGCTGGGCCTGCAATCACAGAGGTGATACCAGAAGTTACGTCTCTGAGTCTAGTATTTGGGGCTATGGCCGCCTGGCGTAGGCTATGACTGCCAAACGCGGGAGGTGAAGCGTGGCTGTAGAGCGTGAGTCCACATGGGTAGGGTGGGTCGATCGCTTGCTGGCTGCTGGTACGGAGACAGCAATGGCTAACGTGTCCGTAGAACGTTTGAACCCGCTTCTCCCCAATTCAGCCTCCTTCGCTGCCGTTGGGAATAAAGTTTCATTTTGTGCTTCGTCAACACTTTGCTTTCATTTTTTTCTTCACTGTCTTTTCACTTCG